ACTCTCTGAGCTGAACGCCGAGGTCACTCCCCGGATGGCACCGGCACCTATGAGCAAAGCGGCTGTCACATGCTCATGAACGGTCAGCTGCATTCCATGAACAGTCAAGGCAAAAGCAACGCAAACAAAGACCTCAGATCAGCTCACGACGTCCCGCACCGAAGCAGCGAACACTGTTTGGCGAGCAAGCGATATCCTCACAGTCAAAAGGACGCAGGCGCGATCTTGAACCACGCCAGGCACTTAGGGCGGTCCCAGGCAAAAATGTCCCCCGAGTGCTTGCGCGTGCAGAGTGTGACCTGTCCCTCGACTGCAAGGCGCAGATGGGAGGATCCAGTCGCTACACATTGCACTGGCGTTGCGAGGGGGGGGTATAGGACGGGTAGGGCCGCGCCATACGCAACCGTCTGCGTGGCCCAGTTACGCAAGGCCTTGTTTTGCCTCCATAGCTTGTACGCTTCCACTGGGCGTACCCGAGCCAGCTCAGCCTCGGCGAGATACTCTGCAGAAGCGACTTGAACATGGCTGCTGCACCAGCCCCTTTGAGACGTCCTGCCACGCAGTATCAGCACAGACTCGCCTGCACGGAGAGACTGCTGGAGTCCGCCCCACAGGTTCTCAAACTGCTGGTTGCGGACGGCTGCGTTGGCATCCGACCTTCCCATTCCCCACAGTGCTCGTGGTAGTAGCGCCAGGCCTCTGTAACATTATAGCCCTCAAGCACCACTGCGGATGCACTGGTGTAGCGGCCCACAAACTGGAGGCGGAAGCCCCCACAAAAGCTGGTCACACTGCTGGCAAGGCATCGCCGTACATGGGGCCACCCGGACCGCTGGTAGAATGCCTGGCAACTCAGGCTCTCTGCCCATTGTCGGAGGGTTGCGCTGGATTTCCACCACTGAAGTCCACAACCCCATCGCCGAGGCATGAGCTCCACGTGGCCATCTGTTGCGGAATTGAGGCAAACTCCTGGTAAGTTGCCGGAGACAACACGCTCTCGTCTGTATGGTAAGCATTCCCTGCAGCAACAGCATGCTCCATACACACTGAAGGGTCACTCCCTCTTGAATGTTGGCAAGGATTCCTTCCCTGCACAATCAATTGCTATCACCTGTCACAAGTTCACGCAGGTCGACTCCTGTCTGATCAATCACAGGTCGACTCCTGTTTGTCACTCAAACAAAGCTGCTGCCAGTTTGGCTCACAGCCCGGCTCGGACCCAAAATGGCAGCAGCATGAGCTTTTAGGAAGGATTTGCACGCACCCAAGCCTGCCAAATTCAACACGCTAACAAGGAGTGCCCAAGGTTGCGCCTGGTTCCCTAGTGGAAATCTGTAAACATGTCTATGGCCTTGCTGATGCGCCGCGTCAGTGGCGGCTGTGTTTGTCGTCCGAACTGGAGAAAACCGGCATGAAAGGTCCGCTCTTTATCCGTGCTGCTACTATTGGTACCAAGATGGGGCGCTGAAAGGCGTTCTGACCTTCCATGTTGACAATCTCATCATGGGGGGTTCTGCTGAATTCCATGAGTGCGTGTTAAGCAAGCTGAGGGCTAGGTTTCCCTTCATACACTGGAGTGAGGGTAAAGCCACTTTCCTTGACCGTCTGTTGCGGCAGCTGCATGACTATTCCATGTCTGTGATCAGGAAGAGTCTGCTAGCCAAATTGCCAGTGTTTTCATCAGCAGAGAGCGGAGGAAACAGAGAGACGAGAAGTTGAGCTCAAAGGAACTCAGCAAGTACCGCACCATTTTGGGAGCGGCCACTTGGATTGTGGGAAGCATGCGTCCTGACATTGCGTCTCTGGATCCTCAGTTACAACAGAGAATAAGTAGAGCCACCGTTGCTGATTTAATTGAAGCCAACACACTTGTAGGATTGATGCGAGATCATACCATGATGGCTGTTACTTTCAAGAGCGTTCCCCTGGATCAAGCTGTGTTCATGCTTGCCACGGATGCTTCCTGGGCGAATGATGAAGACTTGGGAAGTCAAGGGGGACATGTGATCATGTTGGCGGATGCCTTGATTGAACAAGAGTCATGGGCGCACGCGTCGCCTTTAAGGTGGCGCTCCTTCAAGTTGGATAGGCATACTCAGTCCATGTTGGGGTCTGAACTCATGTCACTGGCGGGGGGGATCGCCAAATGCGACTGGCGAATCTCGCTGAAGCCCTACATTCAGAATGTGATCTCACGGGGGACAAGGAGCTGCGTGAGAAGTTCAAGGTGGTCGTCACTGTGGACAATAAGCCCATCTATGATCAATCTCACGGTGACGGAATAGTTATTCGTGACAAGAGAATGGCAATAGACATGCTCTTGGTTCGCCGTGACTTTCGGGAGAATAACATGGTTTTGCGTTGGGTGGACACTAGACAGATGCCGGCGGACTGTCTCACGAAGACCTCAGCGGATCCCAACTTTCTCCGATTTGAAGCGCAGACCCATCCTTTGAATTCAGACATGTCCTGCAAAGCCACAGATATCAAACCTCTGCGCAATGAACCGCGGCATGGGCTTAGCGATGGATACAAAAGAGTCTGAAGTGTCAACCACTGTGGGCGGAAGCTCACAGTTGTATATATCATCTTGCTGTAAATGCGCATCCTGGCTGATGGGATAGACGCAAAAAGCCATCACGGCTTCCGGAGCGGGAATATACATGGAGCGCCAGTAGACAATACCAGCAAAGTTGTATGTAAATGGCAGTGCGGCAGCATGCGTTGGTGAGGTAGTCCCAGCCCTCAAGCCAGAGGGAAGCCGCCGAAGCGAAAGCCAGAGAAGCAAACAGCTTCAGACGCGAACGCTGCGGCTACGCAGCCACTTGTGGTAAGAACATGCCCAGCCAATTAGTCAGAGGCCATTGTTGCGCCAACTTCCTGTCGAACCAGTCACACGAATTCTTGTGATGTCGCATAGCATGTCATAGGTGCTGCTGTGCCGAAACCTCCACTTCCCCAAAAACTTTGCGGGATTCCGAGCGAACTGCCTGACCTGCGTCAAAACAGCACGGGCAGCAGTTGCCAGCACCTCTAGCGCCTGTAGCGTTCTCAAGCCAGGTCGCAACCGGCGATACTAACAGCAGGTGCCATGAGGGCCAGCTGGAGCCAGCAGTACGAACTCCATGGATGCAACAAAGTTGCATGCTGCCCAACCAAAGGCCCAAACAGCCAAACAGGTTGCGCGCGTGAGGGCTAGCTGAAGCCGGCGAAGTGGGGCCGAAACCCCAAATTGTGAGCGCACCGCTTGAAAGCAATGCGCCCATTAGGGGAAGGCTACTGCTTCCCCCGGTTCCGGAGGTATCTCTCATGCCAGACGTCGCCAGCATATTGGGTCAATTCCCGCGCCGCCATCAGCCACCAAAGCGACCAGCAGCAGCGCCCCCCTCCGGGGGAACACTCACAGTTGTCGCATGATGATTGTATTCATGATTACGAGCATTATGTTGATTGGGCTGCTTGTAAGCTGCAAACCCAGTGATGGCTATGATGCCTGATAGCGATAAGGAAGGTGATAAGGATAGACGCCACCTCCAAGGATCCAAGGACGGATCAAGTGCCATGCAGGGCTAAAAGCTGAGGTTTACTGAAGATGAAACTATTGATTATCCTTTATGACGTTTCTGCCCACCATTTCATATTAAACGCTCAAACGCTCTATCAAAGGATTCGGTCGAGGGTAGTGATGGCGCGTCCCCCCAAGAATCGCGTTAGAGCATTTTATATGATTGCTTTTGGGGGGAATGCAACCACCGATTTTATGAATATTTCTTGTATCAAAAGGAAAGGTCCAAGAGAAAGCTCGGGCTACAGCTTCTTCAAAACACCCAAAGAGGTCGTGTTACCCGGCGGCCGAGTGCATTTGCTGTGTAGCCAAGTCCAGCTAGGTATGTTGTCCCAATCACATATAACATTCTACATTTGAGATGACATAAGATCATTCAGAGATTATTGGAGTTCATGAACTCATCGTAGTCCCGTGCGATATAGACGTGAAGTCATTCTCAGAATACGTAGTGGAAAGTAAGAGTCGCGGATGCCGGCGTAAGACCCACATAACACATCAGAACAAGCAACAACGTGCAACGTGCAAGAACTTGCCAACAGGTGCAAGAACATGCAAAGCAATAGCGAAGTTGCAGTATCTTACAGTACTTGTTCATCCCTTTGGCATCTTGTGGTTTCTTAAGCATGTTACACGCATATACATTTAATTACGTTTATGTACTATGATTGTTGAAGGCAGCACCGGGGTGAAAGGCAACTCTGTGGGTGGCCCCCACGGTCATGGTGAGGAGGAGGTGGAGGAGGAGGAGGATATTGCTGCTGCGGCTGCTGCTGCTGCTGCTGCTGCTGGTGATCAGGAGAACGACGCGGCAGACATGACGACGACCAGGACCAGGACCAGGACCAGGACCACGACGAGGACATCACCACAACACGACCACGACCAAGACGAGAACGACCACGACCACGATCACCACTATCGACAACCACGACGACAAACACAAACGTCAGCGAGAGCGGTGGCAATGATGGCAACGTCGGGTCGCTCACGATATGGGGGCAAATGCATGTAACAGATGGCAGCCCGGCAGCATTGTGGGACATGTGAGGTGGGGCAGTAGGGGTGCTGGACAATGATAAGAAGGACTCTCGAAAAAGGGAGGATGGAGGGTTCCACACCATCTAATCACCTTTGTCTCTGGCTTGGTCTACACAGCATTCTACCTCGACCAGCATGTTTCCCAACTCGCAACCTGACTCAAACCTCGATCCTGGAACCTGGAGCATGAAGCTTTCCATCACAGGCCATTGTGCAACAGACCAAAGTTTTGAAGCTTGAATTGGTCTCTGATCTTCTCTGGTGGCTGTCACAGCCAAAGCTGCATGCAGCTGAAGAACATGCCAAAGCTTTATGCCAGGAGGAGGAGACCCGTAAGCTTAAGCCTAAGCTCTGACGTGCCTTTGTCGGAAGCAACTTCGACTGGGTGCCCAACTCAGCACAACGCCATCTCGGCTTTTCTTCAATGCGGCCCAGACGGTCATCTGGGCAGGAAGAAAACAAGTGTGTACAATTGAAAACCCGCAGTGCAGACTTGCTTTGGCAACAATCTGTGGCCAACACAAGAACTATAGACACACCCACTTTGAGTGGCGAACGCCATCTCTTTCGCTCTCGCTCACCTAGACAGACTCAGGTTGTATTTCAATAATGTGTAGACGCCCAGGGGAGAACCATCTGTTTTATCTCACGATGACCTCACACGCTGGATTGCAAGCTGAAGGCCTTGTCCCGTTCCGAGGCTGCCAATCTCTTGCCCTATGTTAGCAATCCTGGCAAACTGAAGCCCCTGTTAAAAAAGCCCTTGCACCACGCAGAGCGCTAAGACACAGCAAAGGACGAGTGCCCAACAGCAGCCCCGAACGCCCTACTTTCTCTGTGGGACAGGACGAAGCTTTGTACTCCTCTGGCTTGCCACTATACAAATCTCCAGTATCAAGCTACTCGTGCAGCCACTGAAGCCCATCCAGGTGTTGACCTACTTGTATCCCTCTCCCTAAGAATTGACGGAAATACTGATGCTGCAACGATCAACTCGCATAGCCTCACTCCGTTTGACGGCAAATGAATTTCGCCCAATGGGGCTGTTTGATTTATCACATGACAGAGCGCGCCCGCCTCTCGCTAGGACTGCTGCAGCACGCTGAAAGAATCCGGCAGAACAAGCTGTTGCTTAGAAAAATCGGAAGTATGATCGGCCCTTGCTCAGCAGTGGTTGCTGAAAGGTAAACACAAGGGCAGCGGCTCAATATTGAAGAATGTTCTAGGTGGCATTGCTTTGTTTCCCCAAGTGGGATGACAGCCTCCCACAGGTCAGCATAGATCTAAGCTTTGTCGCTGAAGCTTCCAACTGGTACCTGCTGTAAAGTATATCTGCTTTGAAAAGAATCGATCCGAATAAAACTGTCCCCTTCGTCGTTGAATACTACCCGTATGGGCCATCCACACACTGTCAGTTCAAATGTTAAGGATAAACCTGAATAAGACACAACAAAACGCATCAAAGGCTCGTTTTTCTTGACGAGCTCGCCTTTCAGCCGCCCTGATTGCTACGAGCAGAAGATGGTAAAAGGCACAGTTAAGAGCAGAGCTGGCTGCCTGGTCTTCATGTAATTCAGCAGGGGAGTGTCCTGGTCAGTGATCGTGAATGAACAGCCATGATTCGGCCGAAGACTCAATTGCATACCTACGCATTTTGTGAGAGCCTTCTTGCTCGAAGGCTGCAACTCCGCGACCGGGTCTGGCGGAGCCTTCTCACGCACAAGCCTTCAGCTATAGCTCTCAAATCCGGCATCGGCCTCGAACATCTTCGGTGCTGCCAAGCCTTCCAAGAACCTGATGCAAGAGTTGAACTTTTGGTGTGCTGTAGTTGTGTGTTTGGCCAGCTTCTTTTAAATCCCTTGCACTCTTGAATGATTGTCGGAGTTTCCCCATCCAAGGACACCGAAACATTTGAACCGCGCGCGTTTTCTTTCGCGAGCAAAGCCATTTTCCATTTTCGGACCAAGTTGAATCACGGGTCAGGGGTTCTGGAAGATGCCAAAGGGAAGATGGATGGGACTTCCAGGGGCGTCTGGGAAGAACTGAAGCTAAAAGTGAGGGATGCAGGAGATGCTGAACTGTTGGGTTTTGTAGTTGCAAGTTCAGCACTGCACTAGGGAAGGCAACTACCTTTTATACCGTGATGCCGACTTGTGCAGCCAAAGTCGGTACATTTATGAAGGCAACATGGAAAGTGTGCACCTCAAAATGGAATCAGGCCACTACATAACTTGCACAAGCAGCAGCAAAAGTAACTAAACTGCCTTGAATGGGAAACCACCCCTCTAGCCGGATGCACCTGTGCACCTGAGGGCGCAACTGAGCGCCTTCAACATTTAGGCACTGGGCTGCCCAGGCTGTCAATACAGGCGGTTGCTGCAAGGTGACAGTAGCCGAAAACTAGCATACAGTACTCTACCCATTTCCTCCTGCCCCCACCAACTGCGGCACTCGGCAGCTGAGTACCAAGTGCGGCAAGGGAAGCCTACGTTGTTCCGCTTCTGCCAATCTTCATCCGACCATTTTGGACGGCTGGATGGAGCTGCAGACGCTTTGGAGGCAACGATCTGCTTGGAAATGGCGGACTGCTTGGCACTCGATGGCTTTGTAACTTGGACCTGGGCCTGGGCTGCCTGAAAGCTGTTGTTCATGTGGTCGCGGATCTTCCTCAGTGAGCCCTTCGAGAGACGTGGACTTCAGAAGCACAATCCTACTGACGGTGAGCAACCTACCGGTTTTCGCAGTGCCGAAGGCCCACACAGCATACGTGATGCTGTCCATTACAGTGCCCTGGCACCCAACACCCACTGCCACATTGGTGTCAGGATCCGCCATACCGAGGCTGTGAATTGTACCGTGCGCATGCGTGCACACGTGGTGCTTCGACAATGACAAAGTCCAGCGTTGGACAGCATGGCTGGCGACGCTAGGTGTCAGCATCTTCAGAATCCGGCACGGCGACGGCGCTACTGCGTGGAGCGTCCTCACAATCCGGCCTCTGCACAGTGCTCCGCATGGAGCATCTTGAGCATCCGGGTCGCGACGGCGCTTTTGCGTGGAGCATTCTGACAAAAAGCGCTTCATTCGAACAAATGGTGGTCAATGTCTTCGTTTTGCAGGTCCGGTAACCTCCAGGCCTCCAGGAAACTGGCTTCAGACCGAATTCAGGCAAATTGCATGGTGAAAGAAGTGGGTTCCATAAACCTGAATCCGCTAAAGCTGTCAACAGTGCACTCTCAGGATTTTTTGGGATGGCAGGTTGCTTCCTCAAAGCCCGACATGCACACAATTCTTGGAACCACGGCATCAGGAAGTGCGCGAAGAGTCTGTTTGCAATACCTAAAGAGATGTTGACGTGGCATGATGACAGAGGCGTTTTTTTGACAAAATGTCCTTGTGGCCATACGTCTCGAACTCGCTGCATGACGAGAGGAATGGGTGGGTTTTAGCAAAGTGCCCCTGTGGCCATGCCTCTTGATCACATGACATGATGCGAGGGGCGGATTTTCAGCGAAAGGAGTTCACAGGTATTTGAGAATGCGGGCGCTTCTCAGAACTTGTTTGAGGTAGCCCCACGCAACGTCGATCTGCATACTACCTTCATGAATTCCTGATCCGGACAGCTGAGCGTTCCCTGTCATGGCATGATCCATCTGTGTACAGACCAACTGATCCATTTCGTTGTTCCTGCTGATCCGAAACTACGCAGCAGTTTCTCAACACCGAAATACCAACACCTGCGAGCCCTAGAGTAAACAGTACCAACCCTAAAAAACACCATAACCCTAAACCCTAGAAGCGCTACACCTTAAGGCCTGAACACCACAAACCGACAAAAGCCGTCGTCTCGATTGCAAAGTGAAGGTAGGGGCGCGAAAAGCAGAACTGTTAGAGCTTTCGGGTCGCGTGCCAGGCAAATCCAGAACTGTCGTAGCTCTTGGAGCCTCGTTGACGCTAAACGCAGAACTGCTGTCGCCTTTAAAGCGTCGTGGTCGCTTTTGGAGTCTCGATGACGCGAAATGCAGAATGCACTTGCTGTTTTCCTCCCCTCCTTCCTTGCCTGCTGCCTGGCCCCTTGCAGTCTTGCTTTCGGCAGTAGCTTCTAGCAATATGAGCTTCTACAACACCATCTTCTTACAGAAAAGCAGATCTCGGTGAAGCGCATTAGGATACCAGAAAACTGAGGAAACGAAAAGGAGGCAAGATGTGCAACACCGTACAAACAATACAAGAATGAAAGATGCCGTCCCTCCTTATCAAAACGCAAGCAAGATTCAGCCTCCTGGTGTGTCAAGTGCATGTACGAAGATATTTGCTCCTGAGAAGCCGGCTGCTTGTAGGTTGCATCTTCAAAGATGGTGCCGTCCCGCGCGTCCTGTGGAGCTGTCATGCTTGTCCAGCACATGTCTAACAAGAGACGAGCGCAACCACTCCTTGGTCACCTTCTGGCGGGGAACCTGAAGGGTCTCTTTGATTGGTTTCTTCAGCAACTCTCGCAGAAGTCTAGAACTTGGTGGCTTGCGAGAAGCTGCACATAGGCCAGTCAGCTACTTACATGGCATTGCGTGACACATGGCAGTTTCTGACATTTCATGAGCTTCGGAGATCGTTTGGTTTCTGCATTTGCTTCAAGCTCTTCCAAGGTTGTCTTTTACGCAGAGTATCAAGCACCGGCCAAGCTTCGGTTCAGCAGCAAGACACAAAGCCCAGAAGTCACGGGTTTGCTTCGAACGGGTTCGTGAGCCTTCTGTGGCCTCTCTTTGGCTCATCTCTTTCTTACAAAAAGCATTGCGATGGGTTGGTTGAAGCTGACAGCCAAGTCTAGTGCACTACAATTTGCTGCTGAGGTCGGCTCCTTGGCATAAGGAGCAAAGCAAGCGACCGCCCGAAAGCTCTCACCTTGTCCGTCCACGAACTGATGGCCGTGGTAGTCCTAGCAATACTGTCATGGCCATGGAGCAGCCTCAAGCTTCTTCTGCCAAGTGTTCCTTAATGAATTTCTCCGCATTCTCCTCCTGGTCGAAGAGGAAGTAGCAGCCTAGAAGGCCATCAAGTGACTGTGCCTCTGACCAATGGCCCAGTTCAGGCGTCCACGAGCATTGACCGATGGCTTAGCTTCGCCTCGATAACGCTTCCCAGCCTGGTGCAACAAACCAGCTTTCACCTCGCTGGAAATCAGATTCACGTGAGCTTCCTCGGACTGACAGCGCAGCATGTTGCTGTGGGGTTGGGGTGGGGTCGGGGGCGGCTTTTGGCTTTCCCCTGCGAACTTTCTGCACCCTACTCACATCTTCCAAACGCTCTTGGCTGTATGGTGGTCCATGTTGCGCATCTTGGTCGCTGCGCCGTGTTCTCATCTCAGCCTCTTGCGAACTGCTTCATTTTTTCAGAAAGCGCAGGGAAATGCAGCAGGTTATTAGTCAAAGGACCTTGGATTCGGCTTTCAAAGCTCAGCCCCCAATTTGCCCACGCACTCTGCAAGTACTCCCGCAATGTGGTTAGGGCTGGCAGGAGGCTGGCTGGACGAACCGCATGGACACTTTGGCTCCTTCTCATGTTCCAGGCTCACGAGCTCTGGATCTTCAAGGGGGCCCTCTCTATGGGAGTGCAGGGTTAAGGGCACCACTGCACCAGCACGCCTGCACGCAGCCCTCTTCGAAAATGCGCGCCAAGGGAGCTTCAAGAATGGACATTCCCAATCCCGCTTTTCAAAAAGGGCTACAATGTCAGAGAGGCTTAAACAAGGATAGAGTGCATGTACCTCGCATGCACTTTGCCTGTTGCGTGCCCCTTGGCGCAGCTGGACAAGCATGACTGACATATGACAGCAACCTGCAGGGCATCAGGACGATTCAGGACTGCAACACAGTGACCCCACAAGCCCGCAGTTGCTGTTACACCTGTCAGTTGTCCGCAATCTATAGAGCCTGGAAGTTTCGCCAGGTGGTTCGCTTCAGATGTGTTTCAGAGACGGTGGCCTTGATGACACAGCTGCTGCTTGCCACTTGCAGTCTGGAAGCAGTTCTATGAGGCCCTAGCAATCAGCTCATCTTCTGTGATTTCAGGTGGCAAGAGTCTCACGACCACCTGTGGCAACCCTGCATCAACCTTCATCTCCTGACCAACAACACAGGATGTCGCGCCTTGAGAGCTTCCTTCGCCATGCAGCCCGAAGGAAAAAACAGCAAGGCTGTTCTTAAAGTCTGCTTGTGCTGAGGGATCTGCGCTTGTCTGCTGATTAGGTCTTGTCTGAAACTGTCATCTCTAACGGCCCAACTACTCGGCAAGATTCTGTCCAGGAAAACGGCACCTGCTCAGCAGATAGCGGCACTTCGAAACTTAGATGCAAACAGGGAAAAGCAGCAACAACCTCCAGTCAATTTTGCGCCGCCACGAAGCCTAATGCAAAGTTGACGCGTCAGACCACGATATGAAAAGGAGACACATTTTAAGCATCCTGAGGCTCATGTGTATAGATTTAAATCATACGAGATCCGCGTGGTCTTTCGCAGCCCAGCAGTTCCGTCTTGAGCATTCAAAGGGAACAAGTTGGACTGTAAGTCGGTCATTTGCAGGCCGCTCGGAAAAACCTCCAGCTTTGTTCACATAAGTTAGGCGGACGCTCATTCCAAGGGGCTACTAGAGCGGTCATCTCGAGTTGATCTCCGTGGTCGGCTTGCATTGCACCACGCACTTAGGCGTATGAGCTGGCACTCAAGGCCACGGCCTTTCGCGTCAGAATCTAGCTAGTCAACTTGAGTCAACATTCGGCCAGGCTGTTGTGCGGGGCAACAGCAGACTCTCGACTAGAGTCCTTGGGCAATCCAGTACAATCTTTTTTGCTAACCGGCTGATGCCCTCGTCACGTCTTGCCCACCGCCTGTCCGCAACACTGACGAACATCTCGGACAATTGTTTGCTGTTTTGGCAGCAACGCCGGGCGCAATGCTGTCTGATGGCAGGTGGGCTGTCGAATTGGAAGGAATAACTTGTGAATATCATGTGCCTCAAGCCCGCAATGAGGTGATGTGTCAAACAGCGCTGTAGTAGATTCTTCCAGGGGTATGAATGCCCATACACTACTTGTCCCAGGAAGGTCACAGCAGCAAGGAAAACGTTGAGATTCAACGCACCTTGATTTTCTGGGCAAGGCAACCTAGATGCCACTTTACGTCTAGTCCTTGTGGTGCAAACGGGGCGTGGCAGGATGCTCAGTGCAAGAGCTTTCCAGTTTTTTGAGGTACTTTCACTGCATGTGCATCCCAGACACGCGCCTTGGGCAGCTGAGATGAATCTTAAAAGTGCCCAACGAAAAAGAGAAACGCGAATGGATGACATTGTACCAAGGCACTGGATATAGCGACTGAATAATGTGGTCAAAAAAGTCAGCCTAAGGTCATCGGTGGCAATCTCCTTCAAAGCGGAACTTTGCTCCATGCTCAGGAAGAAAGCCTACTTCGAGGCTTGGTGATAGCTTTCAAGTCCTATCCAAAGACCTGCACCGCAAAGACACTGGGAACAAAAGGGGCCTTGCGCTCTCTGGCCACCCAAAATGGCAGGGTTTGTTGGAAGCACCGCAAATCACAAAATCATAGGTCGGTACACCCAACGCCTGTCTTTGAGAATTGACGAAATGTCCTTATCAAAACAAGCTTATTTGGGCACACCAACCTGTCTTTGCGCAGCTGACGAAGGCGCTCGGGCGCAAAGCTCCGGATTGAAAAAGACAGGAAAACTCTATCTTACAAATTTTGGGTTGTGCTGGATTTACATTGCTAGTTGCCTGTCCGCCGGAGAGCCTGCATTCACGAGCTCTGTGGCTACAAGGGCCAATGCCACTAAGGCATCCGAGTCCCTTAAAGACCACTCGGAGCCTTGCTTGCTGAATGCATTGGAAATATCAAAATATCAAACAGCATGTCTTGTAAGTACTATCTTTTAAGTAACAACGCGTGCAGAGCTGTGCCACAACAGCCAGGACAGCAACAAAGAAGTCCAGGACATTGCAAGAACCCGGTTGCAGCGAAGCACAGCAAAGCCCAGCAAAACACAACTGCATTATTTCACAACGAAAATGTGCTGCATGCTGCAAGCAAAGCTGGAGTGCGATGCAACAAAGAGGATTAGCCACGTCAAGGCAGGAGTCTTCTCGGCAGATCCAACATTCTCAACTAGCTAGGCGGGCTTGCAAACTGTGGAAAATGATTTATTGTGCCATGAGGGGTCCGTTTTGCAAGTTCTGCAACCAGACTGTGTGCTACCTGATATTCCTCACTGCCTGCACAGGACATGGCTTGTGCTCACTCTGCTGGCATTGCCAGGTTGCGATGTGAACCCATGCATGATGTGCCGAGGTTCTGCCTCAGCAACGTTGCAAACGTAGATGTAGAGCAAACCTTCCAAGGATGGGCAGGGAATGGCCCGATGCCTATGACAGCTCTATACTTCTGTTTTTCACACTCGGGTTACATCCTGTTCAAGTTTAAGCGTGCCAAGTTTAATCTAGAGCACCTAACAGCCCAGGCCACGGCACTGGGACCAACGGTCTGAAGCGCATTGCTGAGCCCAGCACTCTGACGAGTCTCAAGTGGAGGCTCCGCCATCCAGGCCTTCCATGGGTGCCAAGTCTCTGAAACAGCTTTAAACGTTAAACCTAATACGGAGCCCAGGACCTGGGCCAGCTGCACCAGCACGTCACAGCTGCCGCCTCACAGCACTCCAACAGCGCTCGGTTCACAAAGCAGATGCTCTGACGAGGATCTCAGTGTTCTGCATTGGAGTCTCTTCCTCCGTTGTTGCCGGGCTGTTGACCTCACACCAAGCTTTCACCACTTTCGTACTTGCTTCGCATTCACTCTTGTCGTGGCACCGGTCCGGGGGTCTCCGATTGCAAAGACAGCGAGAGAACAGTGCGCCTTGGGCAACATGCAAGTCCACTTTACAAGGCACACAGCTATGGTATGCTGAGGAGGAAACCCAACTTGAATAGAAATAGCGCTGCTATGATCAAGCGGGCGTGGCTTCTTCATCGCCACAAGAGTACCTTTTGACCAGCTTGTCTGAAACGATCATCTCACTGCATAATTGATTAGTAGATGTATTGAGATCCCAACCGAATTTGGAATTGTGATCTTCCAGGACGAAACTGCCTGTCTGGAAAAGTAATTGGCCAAAGCTCACGGCACTTGTCCGAAGCAAATCGCCGATCAAATACAGCCGCAGCGCAGCCTTTCTGATATCGAATTATTGCATGACAGCGCGAGATTGACCTTGGCACAGATAAACTTTAAGAGGCAGCTTCCTCGTGTTGCAGACTTGGCGTCGAGCACATCCGCAATGCGCACATTGCTTTCGTGGCCTTGAAATGGAACTGCAAGAGCATGAGCTAGAGGCTGTGTGAAGCAGATGCCTCTCCCAAGCTTCAGGACTTTGTTCTCTGCCAGAGACACCTGGGCTAGTCCGATTTGCTGCAAACCAAGAACACAAGCTCGAGTGAAGCCCTCCACCACGTGCAAGCCGCGGCTGCTATGCCTCGCCGGCCAGTTACTGACACATCTGACACCCATCAGATGGCATTGAACACATTGAGTACTGTGGCTCGCACTGCTGCGCGTCACGCATCATGTTTTCAAGGACCTTGTGACAGCAAGTGATAATCAACAGCATGCGGCAGACTCCGCCAGTCCTAAGGGCCCGACAATGAAGGGTGGCTTTGTCTTCGGGACTTCTACAAGAGGCATCTTATCCTCTCCTGGGTAACGGGAATCAAAACTGGAGCTGTGCGCATGGGTGTGGGTACCTTGCGCTGTCAATTGCTGAGGTTTCTGCCCTTTGTGACCGTAGCGGGATACGAGGCCTGCCGAACATAAGCACCGGGCGGAAGGTGAGCAAGCGCAACACAAAAAAGAAGTCTGTCACAGGCTTGTCGCCTTGCACAATTCGCACGGCAAAGGCCTCAGAAAATGTGCAATCTCAAAGCGGTTACATGCATACACAGACACATGACATACGTTGCCTGAATCAATGGCACTTTATGGATAGGCGGGACAGCCTTGCTTGAGGTATCAACTTGCTTCTAGCGTTAACCAAAGGAAGCTTCTGAGGCCTAGGTATCGTTTCTCGTTACGGCAAACGATCTCATCTACCGCACCTTGCCCCCTAGAAAATCGTCTGTACAGCGGGTGCCTTGCAGACTGTACATTGCCACTTTAAATATATTTCCATGTTCCGCTCGTGCATCACAAACTGCAATGCGTGGGACTTGCACGCAGAAACTATAGCCAAACGGCAAGGGCGGCGTTTTGGACGTGTGTCCACTGACATTTCGAGCCACGCGTTCGGCTTGTGGGTCCACAATGCTTAGAAGTTAGAAGGCATCAATATCCCGTCTTGCTTGCGGGGTTGTTCAAACTGCGCATGTCTGACACCAACCTGCAAGGCCCCGGAAGAGACATGGCTGGAAGCAAACACTCAGAGACTCGAAATGATAGCCGACCGGGACAGCTTTGCCCATCTTTGACAACACACTGAGTTGCATACCGATAGAAGTATGAGCCTTCTGGTGTATCCGCGATGTTCAGACGTCCCTTGACCTGGGACCAGGTCAGTGGAGTTAGTCTGGCAGCAAAAGCCCTAGCCAACTGGACCAAGATACATTCCAAGGAAGAATTATGAAGAGTTCCCAAGTGGAAGAAGAGGGCCCCGCCCAGTGGCGGAGACAGCCCAAATGGACGTACTCAATCGTTCCTCTGCAGTGACAAGGCCTGCAGCAACAGGCCATACTGGGATGCCAGATCTTTGGCAGACTTGTGCCTGATCAAAGGGTCGTCTTCGGAGGAGCCCTCCAGCAAACAAATGCGGCAAGACCTGGAAATGCTGCTCTCTGCACAATTTAACCTGTCGCACAGTTCAACCACTATCGATTCAAAAGCAAGGTAAGTCAAAGCTGGGGCTGACGTTGACGCCAAGCGGGTCTCATGGTCCGACCTGCTTGGTGCTTACCCTGGCTGCATGAATAACATGGCACAGCCTGGGTCGCGAGCTCTATGTCGCATGTGGACCCTGACGAGTCATCCAAATGCAGCTCCGGCTGCACTGGTGACTGGGCAGCAGGAGATTGTCGAGAACCACAGACCATGCACAAACCTTCCTCAAGCGATTGCTCAAGCCCTGAGGTGTCAAGAATTCTCTAAGTCCTGCACGGACTCGGACGCCACCATCTGTCGAACTTTGAACTTGAAGCGGCCAAGCCTCGGCTCAAAGAAAAGTTCAAAGCTTATCATGATGCGCTGAACCGGGAGTCTTGTCTGCACATCACTGCAACATACTGCACGTTTCAAACGTTGCAACGTTCAGTGCCAGGCTTGATCACGTCGCTTTCAGACAGCCTGGGATTGTCTTGAAGCAGCATGGAGCCAATTCACCATCAAACACTTATCCTAAGGCGACGGCTTGTGCCCAGAAGTTGCCAGATCACGGACTACTACCCACAGCTTTTTGGAGCTGTTGCTGGCTGCAGCTACCTGGAACAGCGTGAGGATCCCTTCAACGCTCTAAAATCTCGCAAGTGGCAAGCCTTGTCCACCCAGTAACAACCCTCTCGCTGGACAAGGCGAAGCATGGGTTCCCCGCCTGCAAAACCAAGCAATCAGGGTCACAAAGAAATGTGAACAGCTACAGATCCCAGACAAGGTTGCCACAGAAATGGGAATGCGTCCTTCTGAAGAAGGTTTTTCAGCAAGGTGTGGCCTGCAGGTGGGTTCTCATTGTCCGTAAACATCTGGACCTGGAAGCTGCGTTTTGAATTGGAGGCGATTCTTGATTGCAGATGAACTTGTAAGGCTTCCAAGCACTGTGCATCTGTTCCAGACCGGACAAATTTTGCCGAATTGGGGACTGTGAAGGTCTGCCTGCCAGGAACGCATAAATCTGCAAGACTGTCTGCTATGCTATGCCCCATCTTAGAATCGGTGGCAGGATGGCGTTTGCAGCTGACTTGCTTCAAAGTCGAAAAGGTCGTGAGAATCGCGTGCCCAAGTACTGGCCACGACCTCGCCAAGCCCCACAGACGCGTCTTTGGGCTGGGCACCGAGCAAAGCTTTCGCAGCCTTCACGCCCATGTTTCCTGCCCCAGAAATGGGGCTGGACGTGCTCCCCGTGGACCTGTGAGCAAGAATGGCAAAACCAGCCAGAAACGTTCCATCTGTTCACGTAAACTGCAGCTATTTTCTGGGGTTGTTCCTCGTGATGCAGGTGCATCAGTTCCCACTGAGGACCGATCTCGGCCGATGCAGTGCGATCCATCAAACGCCTCACAAAATGAGGATACAGCAATCTAAAATGTATAACAGAGAAATGTCCTGTCCCTCAAATGGCATGCTGTGTCAGGAATGCCAGGTGCTTCCCACCGGTTGAGATCCACTGCGCTTCTGCAAGCTGGCACTCTCAAAAGCAAGTACGAGTAATTAAAAGTCATTAAGTGGAAGTCAAGGTGTAGAAAGGCTCACTCGTCGACGCAAATTCCCACCCGTCATCTGAGCGGGAGTGGGGAGGGTCTTCCTTTCTAGGGGAAGCATGATCCCAAATGGGTGCGCAACATCTTTCTTAGATATTCATGGTCATGGGGTTTGCAACAACTTGCAACACCGTGGCCTCGCCTTGAGCTGGGCATTGTCCAAAAAGTTTGATTCTGCCCTAACCACGCCCTGGGTACTGAGTTTTCCTTGGCCAGATTGTTCGTCACCACCCTGAAACCCGATCCAATTCGCCCTTCAGACGTAGCGCTGTGAAAGGCTTCCCCAGTTCTGCAGTTTGGTGTGAAGATGTTGAGCCGCTCCTGTCGTGCATGTGCTTTCATGGCACAAATATTCGACAGCTGGCAGCAAAGGTAAGGATAAAACATCATTTTACCACCTAGAGCCTAGAGCAAACCAACGAAACCACCCCCTCTCTCTCTCCCGCCTCCCGCACTCAGGGCCGCCCCGAACCAGCCAGTGTTTGTCCGTGGTCGCTGGGGCACTCCCGATTTTCTTTCGTTTGGGAGCTCTCTCCTTCTTCTTTACGGGTGATGAGAGGCCCTACAGCCTCCCTGGGGCCCAGCCCCTCTCTCTCTCTTTCCTTCTTTCAGCGTTGAGGAAGGCCAGCTGCCCCCCCCCCCCCGGAGTCTACTCCCCGCTCGTGTTGGGCTTTGCCTGAGAGCTCTTTTTCTTCTTCGGGCGAAGGAGCGCACGACAACCCTCCCGAACACTGCCCCGCGCCCTCTCAGGTTCGAAGCGTCGTGGTCGGTACCCCAAAGGATCAGAGCCCATACAAATATTGGCCACATGCAGCGGAGAAAGAGTCGGGCCAAAATTCAAGGCATGAAGGCGAACCGCTCTGCATTTGGTTTGCGTCTTTCTGCTTCTCACTGCTATGCCCCCGCGGATGGGGAGGGCCAGGGCATAGCCCCAAGCAGGTGAAAGTCCAGTCGATCCAAGTCGGTTTTGGAAGCGAAGGACACTGTTTACTCAGCCCCTCCCACTTTCTCTGCCCCCACCCCGTGAGTCTCTTCTCCCCATCCATCAGCCTAACAATGTCCTTCAATGGGCTGTAGCTCTTTTATCAGGGCACAAGGTCAACCAGGGAACCCACTATAGCCTGCCTGTAGAAGGAGAGAGAGAGAGATTTTGGCCCAAGTCTCCCTGCCGCTTCTTTTGGGGGGGCCTCAGGTGCCTTGTCCCCGGTGTGGGCGTGCATCCTAAAAAGGGGCAGCCGACCACTGCCCTTTGACGGAAACCGAAGCCTCTTCCCAGGAACTAGGGTGTCATCACTCTTTGCAGCCTGATGGTGCCACATTGGAGGGACTACCGAATTGCTATTGTGGGTCGCACTTTGGCAAATTGCTAAGCCCCTCCCGCGGAAACGGGTGAACTTGGGAATTCTGAGACCTGACTTTCAATTCTACGAGGTTAGGGAGCCTGATGCTTGGTTGATGGGATGTTGGCCGAGGAGTTTCTCGTTCTATAAGACTTGGGGGTGATTCGGAGAAAGTAAGTCCCCGATGGGGGATATGGGGAGCAGCCATGGATCCACGTCACACACCGCTGGATGAAGCGGGAACAGGAATGGAATGCAGATGTTATGCGAGCTTCGCGCACAATGATGAAGGTGGCGTCGGGAATTCCCCAAGAATGTGAAGTAGAAAGACAAACGTCAAGCAAGCAGAGAGCTATGTAAGTATTTCCAATCAAGTCAGAAGCCCGAGACAGATCGATGCCAAATTTGGTGCACGCAACTGATACCACACCGATACGATGAATTCAGTGCAGGAAAGGCAGAGGCTTCTTTTGCAGCAGGAGGCAGTCGAAGATAAAAGCACGGCAAGTCACTGCTACCTGGAGGAGTACAGTGAAGGCAAAACGGCACGGTGTACAGGTTTGCCCAGGTCAGTGACATCACGTGGGAGGTTTGGGTTTACTGGTGGCAGCGACTTCTAGTTGGAATTTGGACTGGCTAGGGGATGTTCTCAGGATGTTGGAAAGGGCTGTAGAATGGTTTTTCCAATGAGCTGAGGGCGAGATGCAGCGAGCTGAGTGTACAGGGCGGCGCTGGGAAAGTGATAATCGCCCAACTACAGCGATGGATCGCTCAGGGAGTTTAGCGAACTTGTTTCCCAAAAGCCCTTCGGGCGTTGGGTTCTTCTTTAGATTTCCCAACGGGCGGGCAGCGATACGGAATGGCCACGCGGTGCGGCGTGGCGGGTAAAGGCCTCTGAGTCTTTGGCATCCAGGGAGATTCGTCGCGGAGGGTGGGGCGGTTGTGGGGCGGCAGCGGATGGTGAGGTTGGTCGCGGAACTGGTGGTGGTGGCTGGGGAGGGTGGCCGCGAGTTTGTAGTGCGGCGCGGGTGCGGCGCGGTGCGGCATGGGTAGTTGTCGCGGCTACAGGGAAGCCGGCCGCGAGGATGGGGTGTGGCGCAATGCGGAGTGGTTGGTGATCGATTATGGGAAGGTGGCCGCGAAGACGTGTGGCGTGGTTGGCAGGGGCTATGGGGGGTGGCCGCGAGCATAAATTGCGTCGCGGTGCGGTGCGGGTGGTGGTGGTGGCGGCTAGGGAGCGGCCGCGAGGATAGGGTTGCCGCGAGATGCCGCGAGTTTGGGTTGCGGCGCGGGTGCGGCGTTGGAATATGGTGGCGGCTTTGGTGGCGGCAAGGGCCGTGAGGACGAGGCGCGGGTGGTGACGGCGGCTAGGGAGTGTGGCCGTGAAGACGGGGTGCAGCGGGTGGTGCAGGTAGGGAGGGTGGCCGCGAGGACGGGGTGCGGCGCGGGGCGGTGCGGGTGGTGCAGGACAGGGAGGGTGCCGAGAGCACGAGGTGCTCCCAGACGCTCGCATTTGCGGCAGCAGTGCGGATAAAAAACTAACACACTGCGCTTGTGGGAAGGATTTAGGGCGATGGCACTCTCTTCTTCTTCTATAGGCTATGCGACACCCGAAGGTGTCGCGGAGGCGAACCTCCAGCCCGAATGTCCGATATGTCTGGCAGTAAGGTTTCAGCGTTCGCTGGATCATTGACCGGCAGCACCCCAGCTATCTAATCCCTTATCACCCTATCCAGTGCACGTTCGCCTTCCGGGAAAAGTGTCGGAGAAAGGAAGCCGAGGAGAGGTTGACATATGGAGATTTCCTTATCCTTCTCTTCCAGTTCAATCCAATCTCCATGTGTCCCTCGCTTCTCACTGCTTCAGTGGTAATCCCTACATTTGTGTTGCTACTTCTTCCTTTACACAATTTTGTACATCTCACTTTGTACTCCCTTTGCAGCTGGAATTATGTCGTCTTCGACTTCAAATTTCCCGCTTTCCCCACCACAGGTACACACCCAACTCCCTTTTACCTAATCCCTTTCCTTGCGGGTATAGCAAATTGTGCATGGTCACGGTAATGGTCTCGGTATGCCAATTCCCTTCCATCTTAAGTGGATAGGTCCTTGGCGGCATGCTGAATTCACCACTCTCCTTTCTCACACATTCCTCCCTTGTCTCAGTATTGTTCGTTGTCCCTGTCAAGAAATCACATAATGCATCATTGTTGTCCAGTATGGTCACGGTTTGAAATTACTGTTCTTCTTACCTTTTCCAGATTACTTCCTGCACTGAGGCGTCTCCGGTGTCTGCTCCTGAGGCTCTGTCTGTACAGGTTCTTGCATCCCCCATTCACTCAGTTGACGTTGAATGCATTGTATTGTTGCACCGTCGCCAAGTTGCATGTCCATCTGCTGCATTTTCTTGGCCAGGCTGATGGTATCCTTGTCTTGATTAGGATATTCCCTCTCCCAGGCCTGTCTTCTTTCTGTACTCTGCTGCATCCACATCGTCAGATACGCAAGTTGGTCTAGCTTCAGCTGGACCTCTTCTCCTGTGAGCTCCCGCTTTTTCGGCATTCTCGGCTCTGCTAGTCTTGTATTCTTGTGCCAGTTCTCCGAGCCGCTTGCTTCTTGTTGTTGCGGTTCTTCCCCACGGCCGTGTTCTTCTTCCTCTGCTTCCAGGTCTTCCGTGGCACTCCCATCACCTATGGGGGACTCGTCTCGCGGGATCAGAGGTGTTAAGGGTTGGCTTTGTCGGTTTGCTTCCTGGTCATTTTCAACCGTTGGCTTGTCTTCTTTCCCAACTTCCATCTTGTCCTCGACTTGACCTTCCATCTCATTTGTCTCACGCCTTTCCTGAAGCTGTTCTCTTTGTTTGATATACTTCTTTGCCGCGTTCTCCCAGTTTTGCCACTCCAACCTTTGTTCCCGCCGCCGGTTTTCTTCTGTCCTTTGCCTCAGGAGTTCTTCCGAAACTCTCGCCGACTCCGGCGGTGGCACTCTGGCTTTCACTGGCGGTTGGTCTGCAGTCGTCTCCTTGGGTCGGGTAGCTGTCAGCTGCTGCTTCCTCGGTCTTTTTTCTCTCTCCTTGACTTCTCCCAGTATGACTGCCACCATGTCGGGGCTTAATTCCTCTTCCATTGGACTCCCAGGAAGTGGTTTCCTAGGCCTCTTCTTGTTTCCAACCTTTTGTGTAGACGTCTCTCCTCCGGCCATAGTCGAACTTGTCTCTGATGAGGTTGCCTCTTCCTTCTTCTTTATTCTTGTCTTTTCCTTGTTGGCCTGATCTCGTCGAAGTTCTGCTTGAGGAGGTTGTGTTCCTGGTTGCCCTAGTTTCTCCAGCAATCTCTTGCGCCCAGCCTTCCCTCCTCTGGCCGCCTGTATCATCTCCAGTCTTGTGGCTCCCCTGATGTACTTTTGGCAACCTTCCCTGTAAGTATGTGCCGTCTTGATCTTCCAGAGTTGCAGTACCAACAGATTTCCTTTCCCTTCGCTGTTGCAACGGAAGGTGTCTCTGTTCCGCTTTGTCTCGCGTATGTCATAGCTCCCATGTCTTCCAATTCCGTAGCTGCAGCAACTCTCCTCATTGTCGATGCGGATTTTCCTGTCTCATTGCTTTTTGCATCCAAATGTCCGGCTCCCTCAGTCTGAGGCGTGCGGCGATCGGCCATGGCTGCTGCCTATTTCTCCCAAAAAGTGCTTACACTCAATACCCAAAGCACTACCACACATGGTCGCCCAACAATGCCTGGTAAGCGTAGCCTCAACGACCCAGTCCAGAAAGCATAGGGGGAAAGCTCTTCCAGTAACGCAAGTTTCTTCTCAATCAAGGAAATCGGGTCGCAATCTCCCACGGCAGAGGCCTATCTTCAACTCCGGTGATGCACAGAAACCTCAGTGAAAATGCTGCAATCTCCCTTCCTCTCCCTCCAAAGTGTGATTTGCTGCCGTAGGGGGCTTCTTGCTTTCCCGGCTTGATCTGAAATGGCATCGGTGTGTTGCCCAAGCCCGCCCCTCTGAGATGAACGTCCACCAATCAGGTGACCAGGTAACCACCCAGCCCCAGTCCCCCAAGGGGCCGTCACCCAGAACCCCCACAATGGAGGCGGCAGCAGACTTGAGCCAAAATGGCGATGGCACTCTCTCTCTCTCTCTCTCTTCTTCTTCTATAGGCTATGCGACACCCGAAGGTGTCGCGGAGGCGAACCTCCAGCCCGAATGTCCGATATGTCTGGCAGTAAGGTTTCAGCGTTCGCTGGATCATTGACCGCTCCCTCTCTCTCTCTCTCTTGTTACAGCCCGTACACCACCCAGAAGTAGCGCTGGGCTGCGCCCAAACCAAGTCACTCCAAGGTCTGGCGCCAACCAGAAACTGAATACCGCTAGTATTCATGCCAGCTGACCGAAGAACGCCACTTGGGCCCAACTCATGAGACAGAGTTGGCATTTACATGAACGGCTACCCCACTCTCACTGGCTATGAAACCGCCAAAAAAGGCGGATTCAGCGACCTCGAGTTGGATCACCTGCGATCTGAGTCACTCTCGGGTCAGCACTGTTCAGTAAGTGTTGGCCAATCTGCCCCAAAAAGATGTCACAGAGCAGCTTATCACTGGCCCCCTGCTCATCACCAAGTGGCGAAGACTTTGTCATTGTTCCTCTGTGTGTATGTCTCACGTGTCTCACAATCTCCATGGGCTCTATTGCTGCAACTTATGCTTTGGAGTCCTGCTCCTGGATGATGCGCACACACTTTAGCATGGGCTCTCTGTGCTGGAACGCAGGATCCGCTCACCCACTTACTGCCCCACGCAGCCCTTCGTGTCAGTCAATCGCCCCCTTGTTGTCCTATGTCGCCTCTGGCGCTTTGTCTTACAGTGGCCTCTTTGGTTGGCATGTGGTTGGACCTCATTCGATATCTCCGCAGTTGGCCATCCCGCCCCCTGCTCCGGCACTTTTGCACTCAGGGCTCCCTCCAAAATCTCCTCTCTTGTTCCAAGTCATTGACCTGGAGCTCCACATCTTACTCCTCCATATGAGCATCGGTCAAAACTCCTTACATCCGGTAACGGACGCCGGTATGGGGGGTGTCGCTTCTTAATGTTCCCATCGCTTTACAGGGTTTGGAAGCAATCCGCACAAGATAGCATAAGATTGAAGATTTAGGGCGTC